ATTAAAATAGGAAGTCTGTTTTTTTCATGATAAAAATAAGCCTAAAGACAGTATGTTGGCACCTCATTATTCAATACCCAGTTTACTTTAATTCACACCTTTAAAATGGGGCTCTTGATGGTCTCAATCATCATATCAAGGCTGGAAAGTTCTCATTATTCATATTACCATCTAGCAAATGAGTGAGGAACTTCTGATACTTACCACATGAATGCTCCAGTTTATTAGTCTTTCATCTTTCTTCTAATTCATTCTTCCCTTGACAGCATTTTAAAAGTGAAATCCACATATGCGTGTAGATTTTCCAATGCTTTGAAATAGTCTCTCCGAAAGCATTGTCTGTGTTCATGAAGGAGTGTCTGAAAAACAGGAATGGAACAAATAACGTGTGTTGGGGTATGAATTTTGGCAAGTTTCCTTGGGCAGGGCATCACCTCGAGCTCCAGTATCTGGTGGTATCCTCTGTAACACACCTCACCGAGCTGCAAAACCTCAGTAGTAGGAACAGTCGTGCTAAGAAAAGCATTCTCGTATTGGTATGGCTTCTGTCACGTTTAAAAGTAAGCGAGTGATGGGAATTACGCAGGAGTGCTTGAACAAGGAGTTAGGGCAGCTGAATCGCTTTGAACGTAGCAATTGTGTTTCATGATTGAGGGTCCTAGTTTGTTCTTTGATAGAAAAGAGTAATAAGACTCTGTCTTCTCCTGTCAGCACTCAATTCAGTATTTTGTGACTCTATGCTTCACAGCTGGTTGCTGCAATATGTTTCACACAAAGTAGTTTGATTTTTTGCATTCTTAATTTGAGGCAGTAGTCCAAAAAGTGAATTCAGCTCAACACTTGTAATACTTAATTGTTTTCCCTTTGAAATTCAATTCACATCCTTCAGTTCTATAGTTAATGCATATATATCTGTTTTATGCCACAAAAATATAGGTTGACTGCTTATCGGGTCAGTGCTGCTGTTTAATAAACAGTACTTATCTCCTTGAAACAACACCCTGCCCTAAATAAGTTCGCCTAGGGAGTTGGGCCAGAAATAGCTTTAAAATACAGGGTGGTAGTAGTCCTGCTTTCCTTTTTTTTTTTTTTGTCTTCCTCCATCAGATGTGCAGGTTGTAAAACTATGCGGTCATGTCTTTCCCCAGGAGTCTGTGCTTCTCTCAGCATTTCATGTTATTCTCAAAATTGAATGTATGCCCTCACTTTTATTTATTGTTCATCACTAAAACTCCAGTGGAGGAATGTAATGATGTTGTTGAGCAACGTGTGTTAGTATTGATGCCTGAACACTTACAGGTACAGCTTTGTTACTCCCCTGTGCGTACTAAACAATCCCATTTTAATACAGAGGGAGGAGGATGTATTGCTTAAGTGCAAAATTTACTTAATTTTGCAGGATAAATAGCTTGGGGGAGGGGGTGTCCCTCCTTCATGATGCTAGTCTTTATACTCCCAAATCTTGTAAGCTTAATTTTATTTTTTTTTTTAGTTCTGAAAACTAGTCATGATGTACCAAACCTGGCACAGAAAAAGGAAGGGCAGGGGAATTAGGGTGATGGAGTAGATACAGAAATGTTAGAAGGCATAAAAATAGACTGCAAAGAGAAAGGAAATGCTTAATATTGCTGAGGTAATAGTGGTAAGGCAATACATAATGCAGCTAGAATGCAGAGTGTGGATAACAAGAAACAGAAATGTTAAAGTACAAATACCAGGAACTTGGGCAGAAAATTAAAATGTTTTTGAATGGGTGGTGCTGTTGGGATCGTAGAATGACACAAAGAAATCATAGAATAACGTTAGCAACTAAGATGTGGTTTTCCAATGGGAACGTTCTGTTACGGAAAGATGGAAATAAAAATATGTGCAGTGACAAGCTGTAAAGCATTAAGCAACAAAATGGCTGAAATTAAAGGTGGGAGCCAGATTTCTTTGGGAAAATGACAGTAAACAAGATTCTGGTGGAGCAGGGGTAGATGCTTGGTGCACATCCTCCTGATCCAATTTGGAGGTGAATAATAGAAAACTTTGTCATATTGCAGGTATAAATATTTGTGGGAGTACTTTTTAACGTTACTTTCCAGCTGTAGTGATAATGCTATAAATAACTTTCTTTGTTGTCATATCCACAGCAGAGGGTTCTTTCCACTTAATGACACAGAAGCTTTGTGAATTACCAAGCAAGGGGATACGATGACTGGGGGCACCACCTGAATGAGTTAATCACCTTCAGAAAAATATTTGAAGTAAACAGAGGTCCCGTGAAGTGTTGGGAAAAGGTGACAAATCCATGGCTTAGAAATCAAGATATGCAGGAATATAACAACAAAAAAAGATAAAATTGCCAGAGGTTGAGCAGAATTAGTCAGCTGAGCATTTCGACTTGCCTTCAGGGATGTAAATAGGAAAGGTGAGATGCAGAGGCAGATGGGCTGCTTGTGGTGAGGACTGAGTTATAGGTAAGGTTCTAGAGCTACTGTATGAAAATGAAGAAGATACTTTGCTTCATTTCTCAGTACGGGTGTTGACACTGCAAAGGCAAGATGGATAGATGGATAAGTAGTAGGAATAGTATTCGAATGGGAATTGTTCTATTTCCATTGAATGCAAAACTGAAGGAGCTGATGTACTTAAATTGGGAAGAGGGAATAATCTTTTATCACAGAAACCTAAAGTTTTAGGTCATGGAAGTGCAAGTCATTAGCAGCAAGCACCTTTAACGTATTGATCAAGTTAGTGTTGGAGAATCATAGACCTTAATGGCAATGTTTACAAAAGGGAGTCAAAAAAGCAAATTGAACTTCTGTAATGTGACCTCAAAAGGGTATATGCCTCGGAATATATTTGGAAGACAAGATCTGAAACAAGCTTCCCAAACATAAAACAAATGAGAAAACCCAAGATTTTTTTAAATAAATAAAATAACTAACAAACCCCCCTGTCATATTCCCAATGTCAAACCAGACTATCTGGATTCTGATGAAATGTCTGGGATGTGGGGAAGTTGCTGCTGAAAGTCAGGTTAGTAGAGTGGTAAAAATCAGTAAGGAGTTACTGGTGCGTGGGAAACCGGCCAAGGGAAGTGTTGAAGGATAAAGTGGGGAAATGGTGCTACCAAGGTTGGAAATGGTCTTGTTTATTATTTCATTAATGATCTTCGCGTAAATGTTAGGAATAAATACATGAAACTTCATCATGGGGCACAGGAGGCATTGTCAGAAAAAGAAGGACCTGAGCATCATACAGAAAGCAGCAGGGTAACAAATATGGGTTAAAAAGGTAGATACATTAAAGATCATATATCTGAGAGTTAATAGTGAGCTGGGAGATGATCAGTCATAAACAACCGAGATGGGCATGCAAGTACTGACTGGTCACTGGATGGTCCAGAGCTGCCAAGATAAGGCAGTGGTACAACAGGCAACTGCAGTTTAGGGCTCGTTAATCTGACGTTTCCAATTGAGAGCTGAAAAGCATCAGTGTGGTTGTGGTGGACCCTGATGGGACCTCGTGTAGAAAAATACTTCATCTTGTTCAGGAAAGGTGAGCTGAAAATGCATTGACTTGAAAAACAACTGAAAGGATGAGAATGAAGCCTGGTTTAAGAAAAGAGACTAATAGGAGTAGTATAGCCTAGAATTAAACGGGAATTTGGTCTAAATCTAAAAATACAATAAGGAGTACTTGATCTGAAGGTCAGTGAGTATAGCCTGATAATTAATAAATAAATTGGAAAGATGTTTCTGAGCATTAGAGCATCACAGTTCTGAAACCCCTTTCCAGAAAAAAGAAAGCGAAGGTGGAAAAGCGGTTAATGAAGGGATGTGTATTCTTTCTGGTGCTAGCAGAGGACTGAATTTGATAATCCCAGGAAACCACCCCTGAATTCTTACATAAGTAATGAGAAGCCTCCTGGGTTATTTCACATGTGAAGATTTTGCTGCAAGATGTTACTGCTCTAGACCACAGAAAACCTGAGTACTGATGCTGCAGGAGTTTTGAATAATCAAGTTGATTCCATACACACTTCTCTCTGGATTTTTTTTTTTTTAATGGAATTTTCTAGATTGAAAAAACTGCAAGCAACTATTACACTTCTGCTTCATGTTGTCTGATCTACAGCTGGCATTTGAGCCCAAGAATACAGTACAGCAGCAGTAGGCTATTTGCTCTGTTTACTTTTACACGCTTCTCTCTGGATTTTTTTTTTTTTAAATGAAATTTTCTAGATTGAACAAACTGCAAGCAGCTATTATACTTCTGCTTCATGTTGTCTGAGCTACAGCTGGCGTTTGAGCCCAAGAATACAGTACGGCAGCAGTAGGCTATTTGCTCTGTTTACTTTCTCTTTAAAGGAAGCCGTACGATATATTTTAATTCTGATACACAGTTTTCTGGAGAGCTGTAACATCTAGGAACAGTTCCTGTGCTCTGTTCCCCTCTTTGGCAAGCTGTGTGCTATGGTCATTAGAACAAAATGTATATAGCTGAAACGCATGCATTGTATTCACTTTAGATGCGTGCAACTCATCCAAATGTGGTTGCAAAGGTGGTTTAAGTGGTAGAAACTCCATTTTATAGATGTTTGCTCAAATAAACGTGGTTAGATGATTTGCTTCGGTGTCCGTTTTGAAACCAAGGTTCTTCCCTGTAACGAAGATCTGGTTCTCACTTTCCCAGCAATGCCTGCTTGGCCACTCAAATTCCGACCCAGCTGACTTTTAGTATAGGAAAATGCAACTGATTTTAAGATTTTGTTCAGTAATCAGAGCTAGGAAATACAGCAAATGGTGAACCAGCATGGGAAGAAGACAGTCAGAATTCATGGGCTCCTGATAGCAGGGGTTTTTTTCCCAGCTTTTAGATAGTTTTAAAAACTACCATTTTACATGTACCGTGCTTCGTTGGTCAAATAGCCTGTAAATTTGTTTAACTGTAAATTTTTATATAGCTGAAGGCTAATTTGTTTTGGTTTTTTTTTTTTTTTTTCCCCAGTGCTTGCACCTCCTCCACCGTTGCCACCACCAATACAGGGATATGCCTTTAAACCCCCTCCTCGACCAGATTTCGGCACTTCTGGGAGAACAATCAAACTGCAGGCCAACTTCTTTGAAATGGACATTCCTAAAATAGATATCTACCATTACGAATTAGATATAAAGCCAGAAAAATGCCCTAGAAGAGTTAACAGGTAATACTGTGCTTTGCTTTTCCTCAGTTTATTTACATTCTTGTTTTCCTTTGAAAGTGCATGAGCTGTGTGCTTGTCTTCAGTGACGGCTTGGAGGATGTGTCTGTCTTTAGTCATTGTTTGTACTGATAACTTCCAATTTTGCATATCCATCAACAGGCATTTTTTTTTTCCTCCAAGTCTTTCTGTACCAATCCAAGACTTCAGTGCTAATCATCCCTTATTTTGATTGAACTTGTCAGCATCTTAAGATGCTGCTGATCAAAGCCAGTGGTAACAGATGGATAAACTGTATTAACTCTAATGGAGCTCGGTCAGTATAAGCCAACTTGATAAATATGAATCTTAGTATTGCTTGGTTAAATATTAGAATGCAATTGACTGACAAGTCCTTCAGTAGGGAGTTGATGTTACGAGCTTGTTTTCCTTCCTTCCCCTCCTGACAAGGAGAGGCAAAACCCATTTGTTTGTGCTGCCGTGAGAGGATCGTGGAGGGACTAAATTAGGTAAGAAATTATCCCTCATCAGTGTATTCTATATAAGGGAAAGATATGCTATTGAAACAGATAGCAAGGTGAAAACATGGATCAGTTGGCCAAGGAAACAAGCAATTCAGTCTTGCATTTTGCATATGTGCCCTATTAGTCACAGTGTGGCAACCTCATTGACTTGAAAAAGAGTGGTGTTGCCAGAAGTGAAACTGAAGAACAGGACTTGGCACTAACTGGAAACTACAAGTGTCATCATCATAACTACCTACATCTTGACTGCAGAGGATTGGAATGGCCTGTTGATATATTCGAGAGCAAAACCTTTCCATGTTAAAGAAGGTCACATGGATGAAATATGCAGTTATGAACATGAACAAAGTGTGGAGTCAAAAAAGCCACCTGACAGCCAAAGTTTTCTTAATGTAAACTAATACACTGGAGTGTATTATCCATTGTTATACTAAAGAGTTGGTAATGATAGCATTTTCATAAAGCAGCATCACTACACTTTGCTGTCTTCTTTTTTTCTGTCATTATCTATTACAAATTTAATTTTTAAGCTAGTTGAGAATTGAATTTAATTTTAAAGTAAACACCGTTGTAAATGTATGAAGCTGAACTCTCTTCTTGCCCAAGGGCAATCCTGCTGTTTTCACTGAGATACTCTTACTGCATTGGAGTACTGAAAAATTTTCAGCAGTCGCTTTTTTTCGTAGTGGGAGCCATGAGAGCTTTGCTTTCATTAACCGATACCCCTGCCACCAGCTCCGACCCTGACAACTGGCTTGGTGCCGACGGAAGCAGATTGCCGTGCCTCTGTAGCAGCTCTGGGAGCTGAATGCCGCACAGCTCTTGTGCGTGTTGTAGTTCTGTGTGATCACCTCTGTTACAGTCCAGCGTGTGGGTGCTTGCTTGTCAATGGCAGAGAGCATAATTATTAAATAATAAAGCAGTTTTTCTCACTGAAAAGTCAGATGGTGTTCAGCAGCAAGTTCGTTCTTCACTGACAGCTTCTGACCTTCTCTGCTTTGTAAGGTTAGTCACTCCCTCAGTGGTAACAGGAGCAAGTATCAACCTACATACATTAAATGCCTTTTGCAGTAAACAAAGATGTCATAAATGCATTCGACAGTGGTATGCTGCATGTTTCTCAGGGCAGTGTGGGACAAATACAAATTGGATTCACTTAATAAAGCGTATGTTTCATTTCTTTTGAGTGCTTGTTCCTGTATGCATTACCCTGGAGATGTACGTGCACTCACCTCCGCCTGGGTTTTTGTGAGCCACGACCTTTCAGTCCTACATGTATACCTGTGTTTGTGGCTATGCTTGTATATAGGGTTATGCAGGATGCACATGTTGTCCAATTCTAAATGATAGGTTTTTTTCAGCTGGCTTACATGTTTTTAGTATTTTGGTTATATAATTCCGATATATATTTATAGTAAATAGTTTTTATCGTTACTTTATATGTTGTAAGCTCAAGAAAGGATAGAGGGAGATTTTATTTTCATCTGCGCTACTCCCTCATCTGTCCCAGCTTCATTCTTCAGTTTTATTCTAGGACTTACTACAGCTTGGACTATGACCCTGCAGACCTGCTGCAGGGATGTGTACGGTGTACGTGCAAGTTCTGCGCTGATGCCCAGGAGTTGGAGCAGGACTGGAAAACACACAGCTGAGACAACGTGCTGCTGTGCTAAATTAATACAATCTGGCTACAGTTCTTCTCATGTTGCAGAAAGGCCAGATCTATTTGGATAGTTAGATAGGCAGAGTGGGCAATGTGAATTTGGTTCTGCACCGTGGATGCCCTCGGTTTAATTCGCGAGGACAGCTAGGACTTGTCCAAGGTTCAAGATGAATTATGCTAACATTCGCTGGTCCCAAGTTCTTGGTGTGCTTGCATGATCTTGGTAGAATAGTAATCCCAAAGGGTTGAAGTTAGTGAATTGGTAAATAACTCTTCTTTTAACTTCCTATGGAGAAAATAACTTACTTTTCATTAAGATATCTCCACCTACAGCTCAGAAGCACCATTACTAGATGTGCTTTGAAGCTTGAAAACCCTAATTAAGTGGAAGTGTTCACTTCTATATAAAAGTAGTTCACAAGCAGAAGAACTTGCTCAGTTAGAGAATGGGTTTTCCATTGCTCAATCTTTAACTCAAGCTTGAAAAATACCTCATTCCTCCCACCCTTCAGATTTTGTATTCGTTCAGTCAGACATTGGAGACCTGAGGCGATACTACTGGGTCGAGTTTTATTTGTACTTCTCAGGAGGTCAGACATGTTTCTTTCAGTGGTCACATCTTATCTTAAAGCCTTGGGACACAGCAAAAAAATTGTCAACCAAAACAGTCTTTGTTATTTTCTTGAATGAATTCAGAGTTTCATCTCAGAATTTTGCATGACTATAATATCTAAATGTATCCTGGATTAATTGCCTTTCCAAATCAAGGTGTATGAAGTAGTCACTTGCAGCATCTCTAGAGCTGCTAGTTGACAACAGTACTGAAGAAACAGTCATTTCCTTTCTGTGTCAGTTTAACTTCTTAATGCTCTTTTGCCCCAAGCTGTATGTTAAGGATCTTGTAGGCAGCGTATTGCAGGCTGCTGGTACGGTCCTGTGATACAGACAGCCTGAAGGATGTCTCTCTGGGACAGCTGGACCAAAGACCTTTGGCATCAAAGGGTGTTGTTATTCGAGCAGACCTCTCATGGGCTGGTGAACTGCTTTGTGTGACCAGTGTGTAAACACTGTGGTTTGACAAGAACTTTGTGAGTGGTTACCTCATTCATTCAAACGTGCAACCTAATTCCAACTATGCATAAATGAATACGTATTTTTAATATGCATGGGTCCCAGTGAATGCGCATACCTGGTTTTGTTGGATGGATACCAGTTTTGTTGTATACCTGAAAAAATTGCATTTAAAAGTAATCTTTCTCACTGCGATGCAGAAAGTTTGCATATCACTGTCATGACAGAGTTATCGTCCTTACACTAAGGCTGTAAGCTTGGATAGTGATTTTTGGGTTGGTTTGGTGGGGGGTTTTTTTTGTGTGTTTTTTTTTTTTTTTTTTTTTTAAAGCTTCTCAGTCTGCTGAGCTTTTGGTCCGTGGTCCTTTGCAGAAAGGGGTGTAGGACAGGGGAGCAGAAGCCCCAGGAGAATACCAAGCACCTCTTGTTTTTGAGCTTGAGAGAGCACGAGCTTTCGCTTTACCACTTTCAGTAGATCACGGAAAAGAGGAAGGAAAGTTTCAATCTGAAAAAAACAACCAAACAAACAAAAAATAGCTGCTTTAAGAAAACAGTTTAGTCTGTGGAAAGGTTGCTTTAAATCAGATCAGTCAAACAAATCTTGCCTTTAATGCCCAACAGTGGACAACTGTTTCATTTACCTAATGCCTCTATTCATAAATATTAGTGTCAGTGTTCATCTGCTATTTAATGTTAAAAGTAAAAAGTTGAATTAACGTAATCTTTTTGTATTTTCAGAGAAATAGTGGAGCATATGGTTCAGCACTTTAAAACCCAGATTTTTGGGGATCGCAAACCAGTGTTTGATGGAAGAAAAAACCTTTATACAGCTATGCCACTTCCAATTGGGAGAGATAAAGTAAGTTTTAAATAGAAAAGTTTCTAATTGGAGATTTTAATGCAATATGTGTAGAACCTTTCTGAGAACTGATAGAAACTGATTTTATATTTCTGGGATAGATATCTTCTTCTGTTGCCATTTTGCTCAGGATGTGGTTTTCCAGGACAGAAGTGTGAGCTTGTTACCGTCAAAATGGTCACTCCTCTTTCCGTATCCCTTCTTTCCTCCCTCTCGCTCTCCCCACTCACGTGGTTTCTGCTGGTTTGATGAGCTGGATGAACTGCCCAAGACAGCGGACAAGCTGCATACTGGCACTAGGGAGAAAGTGAAAGCATGGTTGAGTTTGGGAGAGGGGAGTGGAAGCACCCCTCTGGGCAGCAGCAAGCTGTTGTGTCAGCTCATTAGTCTCATCAAAGCCCACTGTAAGCTGATTCTCCCTGTCCACTAGCTGGAAGAAACTCCTCCATCCCTCCGTTGCCTGCATGGAACCTCTTCCCTAATCCTTTATGACGTGAGAGCTAAATTGGTTTAAACTGCACAGGTTAAGACCTGCTAGCTTTGTCCTGGGGCAATTGAAGAGAACTTGCAGGTTCTCTTTGCCAGCTCTCTACGTGGGGCAGTGATCTCTTTGGTCACTCTGGTTGTACCTGCAAAGTGTGCCCACATCTGTGCCCATTGACTGTTGGAGTAGAAGGGACTGTGTTGGAACATGCAAACACACAAGCCCTGTAAAATAATTTAGCCTACGCATCTGTGGTCTAATATCAGAATGAATTTTCTGTGGCCTTTTTTTATTTAGATGAACACTTGAGGATACAGTCATCCTATTACTTGTTTGTACTACAGTAGTTACCAGAGGCCATTTTGCCCTTCTGCTGAGGGTGTGAGGTGAGGCATGCACAGTTACAGAGGAAGACTGTCCTATCCTATAGAAGTTGATTACAAGCTAAGTAGAGAAAAATAAAATGTATGGGGGAAAGGGAAATACAGAGAAATCTGCAAACTTGCTTATGTGATAAAACTGGGAACAGAGCTCAGGTCTTCTGAAATTCAGTAGCAGTGTGCTATAAAATAGTTCATGCTGTCCTTTGCTGTCTCATATTGTATGCCCGTGCGGTGCTTGACGTGGTTAATAGTTCTACCTGAATCGCGCTCTTTATCTCATATGTGTAATTTTTATTTTCCCCCAAATGTATTTAAGTGAATGTCATGCAGTAACGGTCAGTCTCTACTCCAGTCTTAATTATTTTTCATTAACCGATAAGGTAATGTCTGGGAAGACTATAAAGGAATTATTAAAAGTATTAGAGATTTTTTTTTTTTCCCCCCGCTTTCACGTATCATATTCCGGTTCCTACCGATTTGACACATGAGATTGCAAAGCATTTGCCGAAGGTGGAATGATACTTGATGAGCATCTCCTAGGGGTTTAAACAAGTCCTCTGGATGCATGCAGAGGTGCCTTATAACTATAATACTTTCCAAATTGTGGATGACTGACAATATATTTTATGACAAGTATGAAGTTCTGCATTTAATAAGTAAAGGTAAATGAAAAATGGTTCATGTGTGGAGGATAAACAAACTGGGATCAAATTAATCTTCAGATCTCATGAGACTTTGGGAGATGCGAGTTGATCATACTCTGGCAACTGGATGAGGTGACCTCCTTCTCCTGTTCCTTCTGTGTCTGAAAGTCTGCTGACCGAATAGGACTTGTTTCTTGATACTTTGGATTTTAAAGCTCATGTGTACTAAATCATACATGTTAAAAATGAAGCCTCGTGACAGTGTGTCAGAAGGAAATGT